AAGACTAAGTGTTATTTCTATAGTATATATTAAAGTAGGATACTATTTGAAGAGATACTATTACGTTACCGTGGTAATCCTTTAGAAGGAAGGTCGGCCGCTAGCGGATTAAGGGATAGCGAAGGAATAATAATTAATATTACTCCTTTATATAGTAGATAAGGTCCTTAAAAGAATCCTAGCTGACTATACCGGTACTATAATAGAGGAGTATTAGCTCCTCCTAGAGAGATAAATAAGAAACTAAGCCCGGAAAAGTATAAAGATAGTAGTATAAAGAGTTATAGAGGCCGTAAGGGCGAGCTAAGCCTATAACGGCACTACTTTAATACTCTATCTAAATATAAAAGGCGTTTTCGATACTATCCCCTACTCCCGCCTCTTTAAGGTACTTAAAAGCAAAGGTTTCCCCTAATAGCTTATTACCTTAGTTAGTAGCTTCCTTTAAGGCTATATAGCCTAACTATTACTTAACGGCGAAATAGCCCTAGTGCGGTACCTCCCCGGGGTAATACTATAAGGCTCCCTAATCTCCCCTATCCTCTTTATCTTTTATATCTTTACCCTTTATAAGGAACTAAAGAGGATCTCTAAAATAATAGTAATAGGTCTTATTAATAACACGAATATTATAGCCTCTAATAGAATAAAGGTATAGATATAGTACCGCCTCGCCGCTATATATCGTACTTACCTTGATTAGAAGATAGCGAGCGGATTATAATTTAAACTAGCTAAGTATATTTATATCTCTTTTATAAAGTCTCGCTAACTCTTATTTACCCCGCTCCCCGTTAGCGCTATTTCGGTGTCGGTAACGGAGGCGATAAGGCTCCTAGGCGTTTAGCTTAATAGGAGACTTAACTTTCGATAACACGCTAAAAAGGTAAAAAGCCGCCTTACTACCTAAACCTACGCCCTTTTCAGGATTAGTACGGTAGTATAGGAGTATAGCTTTATAGAGGTAAGAAGACTATACCTTATAGTAATAAGACTAATAATAGCCTACTACGCCTTAGCTATTTATAAGATAAGGGCCGGCCCCTAGCACGGCCCTATAGCGGTACTTATAGTGGTATAAAACCAATACCTTCGACTAATAGCCGGAGCCTATAAAGCTATACCAGTTAGGGTCCTTAAAAAAAGACCTTTATTCCCCCCCTTAACCTATACCTCTTAAGCCTTAGTACTTAGAAGGTCCTCCGGATATAGGAAAATAGGTCCGAAGATAAGATATTAGCCGGAGTATACGCCGCGGTAAAAGCCTTAGCGATACCGAATCGGTATTATAGGACCTATACTACCCTTATATAGATAGCCTAGCTTACCGCCCTAATAACCTAAGCCGGAACCCCGCCCCCGAGGAAAGCCTTTATAAAGGTATAGAGCAGATCTTAGACGGAGGTAAGGCGGCCTTATACGTACGCTATAACGGTACTAAACTATACAAGACATAGCACACCTTATTCTTTCCTGCCCTTTTTATAAAGAAGAACGAAAAGCCCTGCGGGAAGCCCTAGCAGGCCTACCGCTATCTCTACCGCTATTATTTAGTACTAACAAAGGAATACAGGCCTTACAGGCCTATATTTTAGCTACTAGAATAGCCTCGGCAGAGTGGTATAGGGCGCAAACCACGACTCCTGCGGTCTAGGTATTTTGCTTTGGTTTTTTATCTATTAGGTTTTTATCTATTAGGTTTTATTAGGCAGATTGTGAAGGAGGATTTCCTTTGTTTAGTACGCTCTATTTTACTGTACCTAGCTCCTATTAGCCTTTAGCCCTTAGGGCGAGAGGCGCCGCGCTATAGCTTTAGGGCTGTATGCGCGTAATGAATAAATGAAAAAAAGAAAAAAAGGTACTAAGCCGCCCCCTAATATAACGCTTCCTCCGGAAATATAAAGAACTTATTAAGCTATAAAGCTCCGTATTTACCTAGATTAAATTAGAAAAACTAGGCCTATAAGCTTTCCTTGCTAAAGCGAGGGTGCCGGGATTTCTATTAACGCGATACCCTTACGGCGATAGAGGGACAGAGATAGCGGAGTATATAATACTCTAGTTTTAGGATATAACCGAGCAAGAGTATAAGGACCTTTTCGGTGCCGTAAGGAGATTATTTACGATTAGAGGAGATCTATATAATATACTAGATTATATTATAGAAGCCGGGGCGATAGCTAAGTAGTTTCTATAACGGAAAAGACTTAACGACCTCCGCCTTACCCTTAAAGTTATAGAAGCCTATAAGAATATAGCGGTACCGTAGCAGAGAAGAGGCGATATAATACTCCGGTTTAGTATTAAATAAAGGCCCTATAAGCCGGGACCCCGGCGGTATCGAAGTGTTACCGGGATACCCCTTTTTTACTCCTCGCTAGTCTTAGTATTACCCCCCTCGGAGGCGCTAATACTACTCTTAATATACTTAAGGCCTTAGAACTAATTAGCTATACTACTACTATAAGGGTGCCGTAACGGAATTAAAAAAGGACCACGTATATAATAAGCTATTAGGCCGCTTATTATACCCTTTAGGCGGCGAGTCCGGCGGAGTAGATCCTATACTATTGCCTCTACTAATAAGGTACCGCTACGGCTATAGCTAAAAGGTAGCGCCCGAGTAACGGCCTATCTAAAGAATAAAGCCGCGGTCTATAAATACTCTTTAGCCTACGGACTATTAGTAAGGCGCTACTACGATATCGAAAGTAGACTACTTACCGTAATAATACTATTATTACTAGTAGTCTTTACTGATAGGTAGGTAGTCTAAACGTCTATAAAACGGTACTACTACTTCTTAGTAGCGGGGGGGACTTATCGACTAGTTAGACTTAACTACCCTTATATATTAGCGGTGCCTTTATAGTATAGGGACGACTTTTATCCTTATATAGATATTAGTTATTAGTGTATTCGAAACACGTAGAACCGGTGCTTATAGTATTAGTATAAGCCTTTATATTATCTAGATAGGATCCTAGGCGCTTACTATAATATAAGTAACTACTATATATTAGCCGCTATAGTACTAACTCGGTATTACTAGAATATATATACGTTATAACACGAATAATACCTTATTTATAGCGATAATTATTATTAGCGGAAGGTATCTATAGCTATTAGTATACTACTACTAAGGTGCTACTATAATATAGAGACACTTGTATTACGGTACTAATTATAGTTATTATTATATATATTATTACGTATTACTATTATACTACCTAGTTAACCCCGCGCTACTATAACGCTACCTATAGACTATAAACCACGTACTAGAATTATATAGGAAAATAAAGAATAAAGGACTAGAAGATATTATTAGTTAGTATAATACCGTGACGGTAAGCCTATAAGACCGTAAATAGGAATATATTAAGGAAAACCTATAATTAGCTTTATAGCGTTATAGGAAGGAAAAGAGGGAAAGGAAAAGGACCTTATCTTCTATTAACTATCTACTATTCTTAGAGGTATAGGCGGAGCCCTGCCCTTCCTGCCTATTACCGGATATAGCAGGCACGTACCCCCTAAAAAAGGCAGGAACGCTTACCTTACCTTTTCTCTCTATTAATTAAATAGAAGGGATAATAGGAATAGTCCCCGGGAATATAGGGAGGCCGGAGATAGTATACCGTGGCCGCTATACGGCGGAGACACCGCGGTATCCTTTTAGCCCCCTGCTCCCTTCCTAATAACCGGCCTAGGCTAACCCGAACGATAGCCTACTACCCTTCCTATTAGCTATTAGCCTAAAGGTATAATACAGATATATTAAGGGGGATAAACCGGGGCTATATCGAGCCCGTAACGGTATTAGTACTAAGGATAAGTATAGACGTTTTCCCCGGGATCTCGGGTTTTCCCCTTTATAGCCTTAAAAAGGACCGTATAGTCTATATTAGGCTCCTATAGATTAGATAGGATAGCGGAGTAAGAATAAGAATAAGAATAAGAATAACAATATTAATATTAATATAATAATAACAACAATAATAATAATAATAATAATAATAATAATAATAATTTTTATTAGTATTCTATATTATACATTATATTTTCTTCTATATTTTCTTCTATTTTCTTTATCCTATTACGGGTAGTAAGAGGGTATAGTATATAATAATATTGTCTAACCGTGAAATATACAGGAAATTATCGAATATAGCGTAACCGTAATAGAGTAAATGTACGATAAGAACTACTAGATTAAGAGGTTGTAAATTGATTGTATTAAAGCTGTAAACCGTTGTAAGACCTAACGTTGTAGAAGGCAAAATTAATGCCCGAAATCCTACGGATATCCACTATCTATGCCTAACTGCTTATTCGGCCGTTCTGTTATTCCACCCCGAGGGAGGTCTATACGACAAAAATCCACACAGATCGCTCTTAATTAGATACTATAGGACTTACTATATAATATATATAATTAAAAAGTACCGAAACTTCTAAGGCTATATACTACTATATACTATAGAAGCCTATCCCCCGAAAAAGACCGTAAAAGTACTAAAAAAGGCCCGAGTAGTAGTACTACTATAAAAACAAAGGCTGCTAAAAGTGGTCGGAAGAAAAAGCGGGCTAGTGTTAGTGTATACTTAGATAGTCTCCTTTTAGTCCTGTATTAGTTCCGCGTAGTACCCTGCCCCTTAGATAGGAGCACTTATTCTGCGAAAAGTAATACCGCCGAGAATATTACGAGGTTAAAGTCGGGATAATACTATCTATCGCGTTTTCTGGTTCTACTATAGTGCCGGCATTATAGTGCCTTTATAATAGTATCCCGGGTAGGAGGCGGTAGTTATAAATATTATCCTAGTAGTTCAGTTGATTTTACTCGTATTATATACTATGTCTTCGGCGATTTATAAGACGCGTTATAATGTCTTAATTAACTAATATAACTATATATCGCTAGACTCGATAAGGCATTGCTTTATTATAGAGTTTGTAAGTAAAGGAATATATATTATCATAACTCTACTTTTACGGGCTTAATGTTAAAAGCTCCGGGCGCCCTAATCCTTCCCTTCATTTATTTATTTTAATTGAGTAATTTTAATATCCTGAAATACGCAAGTATCCCTGTATTTCGGCCCTTAATCGAATGGGATCCTACGCAACGCCGCACTGCCCTCTTTCTTCCGGAGCTCCTGAACTGCAGCAACACTGCTAGGCACCTTGATACCGCAGCAGTCTCCCCACCCCACATGATGGTGCTGCTGCCTTGTCCCTAGATCCGCCGCCGAAGGTTCGCCAGACACTGCGCCCTGGGCCAAATAACTCGCAACTGGACCTTCGGTCATCCCATCTGCGGCAGGCACGAGGGACCCGAAAAGGAAATGCTGCATGACAGAGAGCTTTCCCAGTACCTCTGCCACGAACATCCGGCGCATACCACCTTCGATCTTATACCAAGATTTGGCACTGGAGATATCATCGAGCAAAGGGCTGTGCCATCGTAGTCCTTTCACTGTCTTCGTGCTATTGACGAAGGCCACTTGATTAAGATATAGATAGTCTGGGGCAAACTCTTCTATGGTCAGTTCTTGGTGGATTGCAAGAGGAGTAATGTAAGGGTGATGAAGAAGCTGCGAGGCGCCAAATAGGAACGGCAGAAATTGGTAATCATCGAGACCCCAGACGCCATGTGAGCCAGCGGGTTCGAGATAGTAGCTTAGCTGGATCTTGCGCATCAGTTCCAGATATCGTTTGAAAACTGAAAGCACAAGTGCGGCGAAGTCCGGGGGTGCAACAGTGCGCAGCTGATATAAGCACAGTAGCCATATGATGAAATTGAGTTCATGGCCGGATCCATAGTCAATACGTTCCCTACTTCCGAATGACTGGATGAAGTACGCCGATAACTCGTCTCTGGCGGCGCTATCGTCGATTCCAAGCTTGGCGTGCCACTCGGAAGCCTCGGTTTCAACTAAATCGACAAAGCCCCGATAGGCTTTGTTGCCAAAACGGGATCCGCCCTGTTCAACGGGGGGTGACCGTTTTAGCAGCTCCTCGACACGGTCGAGGATCTCGATGATGTTCCGGACATTGCCGCTCGAATTACTGTTATTGACCGCCGAACATGGGGTATCGCGGACAGAATCCGATAGGCTGAAGACAAACGCAACAACCATCCTGTAAGCTGAGGAGTCGAGGAAGAGCTCATGGTCCTGGGGAGAGATTATTCTCCGAGAGGGTTTCATGAACATCAAGGGCGACGGCACGGGAGGTGTTGGAAGGGCAGGTGTCTCTGGGCGAGGAAACGGGCTTGTTTGAGCTGAGCGACGTCGATGCGGTGCAAGTTTGGGTATTTGGGCCATGGGTACTAGCGAGGTGGCGGTATCTGGCGCGGGCTCGACAAGAGGATGGGTATAAACAATCGATGATGACATGCTTGACAAATGATTTGGTGATGCACTATGGGTGGCTCTTGGTCAGTAAGTGAGAACAGAGATAGAGGGGCTGAAGTCTTACCAATACACGAAGTGTGAAGCAATCTCAAACCCATATCCGTGGGATGGGGTCTTCGTCAGAAAGCGTGCGCAGGTTATTAGTGGTGTCAGAACATATCAGATACCCACAGCCACCTTATCGAGGTATGACAAACCATATTATGTCAGACGAGTAGAATACCTCGTTCCGATATATCTATAGTTATTTCCCCTCCTTTTCCCTTATAGTTAGACAACCCCGTGAAGTACCGTATTGTTTTAACAAATTCGTCTAAGGCTTCTTTCTGCTTACGTCAAAAATACCCACTTCCCTATATAGGCTGAATCGATCGTAAATTATATATCCCGACTACTATCTATCACTAATTGTCCGCTAAAGAACTCTCCCCGAAGACTAGCCCCTTAGAGCCAGGACCGTAAAGGAAATTATCTAAGCTATAGGCGCTATAACTACCCGACACGATATCGTAATAGTATAGGAGCTATTAAGCGGAGATATCTATCTACCTTACCTTTACTAAAGGGGTATAATAGTAGATTACTTATAAGGAGTAATAGGTTAAGAAGGCTTTTAGTAAAAGAGCCGCCTTAGCTATACGTACTTACCCTACGCTTCCTAAGGCTATCCCTCAGGAGGTCCTTAACGCCCTATCCGAAGAAGACCTACTAGTATCCCTATAAAATACGAATCCCGAGGCTAAAATCCTCCGAGTAAGATAATAAGTACCCCGCCACGGTACTGGTAAGGTAGCGTTTCTCCTTATCGAATCGGCTTCCCCGGAAGGGGTAATAAGCCTTATCCGGAATACCCTCCTCTTTAAGGGGGGTAGCTATATCTATAAGCTATACGATCCTAACCTTAGCCCCCTAAGGTGCTATAAATACCTATACTTCGGCTATAAGGCTAATAGCTACCTTATAGTAAAGAGGGTATACCGTTACTACGCTAAGCCCGAATCGGTGTACTTATAGGGCCTAGGACGCTATAATACTATAGAGCCTAGGCGCCCCCGCTATTATACCGTTTATACTGGAGATTATAATACCTTTAACGATTTATACTAGCTATTAAAGAAAGAGGCTAAAAAGACCCGCGAAGCGTATAAGTACCGAGCTAGGAACTTTAATATTACCTACTAGATTAAAGCGGTATACCTATAGTAGCTATAGACTTTCCCCCCGATTATTATCTCCTAGGACTAAGACTAACCCCTCTATAAGGGTAAAGGACGCCCCCCGAAAAGGATTAAAGGTTAGGAGAGCTCCCGGATACTAGGCCTAATAACCGTCTATATAGTCCTTTATGGGGCTAGTAAGGTACTATAGTAGGAGCCCTAGAGTTAGACCCTGGTTATACCGGGTATATTATCTTAAACCCCCCTCTTTTTAATTAATAAGTATTTACGTCCTTTCGTAGAATATAGGGAGAAATTAGGCGCGGAGGGAGCTCCCGCTCCGATACCGCGCCGAGTATAATATAATAACAATCCAGGAACCCGGCCTTAACCCCTTTACGAAATGCCCGGCCTACCCCTCCTAAGGGGTATACTAACTAGTCTAGGGAGGGGCCCGCGCCCTCCTATATATATATAAAAGACACCCGTTATATAAGTGGATATAATAGGCTTACTATAACGCCTACGCAGTTATATTTAGGACTAATAATAACGCCCTTATAATCTATTTAATCTACTCCGAGAACTATTAGTTAGCTAGGATACCCTAGAATACGCATTTACGGGATATACTTAATATAATACCGTTACGGGGCCGATACGTCCTTATAGGGGACTTTAACCTATACTACCCCCTTTAATCCTAGCTACCACGCTATTACCCTTAGGTTAACGCCCTCCTTAACCTTATAACTACTTAGAATCTAGACTTAGTTACCCCGCTCGGAACTACTATATAGTACTGCCCGGGCCGGCGCGCTAGTATTATTAACCTTATATAGGTAATATAAAGACTCCGCTATAACTAGTACGGCCCTAATAAGACTATTATCGGATTATACTATTACTCTTAAATAGCCTATATGTATATAGTAATTAATACCGCGACGGTACCGCTATAGGCCCCGGACCGGCCTAGGTAGGTCTAGAGGGATTTCGACTGTATATAGGTTCCCTAACTCGCCGCCGCGTAGCTATACTAGGCCGGCCCTTGTATAATAGCCGAAGAGATTAATATAGCACTTAATACCCTAATTAATAACCTTATAGACTTCGCCGATAGGGTAATACCCCGGCGCCGTGCTAATACCCCCGGACCTTTATCCACCCTTTAATAAAACACGGAGCTAACCGCTCTTACCTAGGAAGCGAGGCGTCTCTACTATAGATATATATCCAGGATGTCCCGGAATCAATAGGATAAGTTCTAGAAAGCAGAGAGGTGCCGAGATACGGCCGTGGCGGTAACGAAGCGGGTATACTAATAGTAACTACTTTACTTAACCGGGAAAAATAATAAGCTCCTCTAATAACTATAGAAATAAGTATAAACTAAAAGGGGAGTACCGCTACACCCCTTATCGGTACCGCTACTATACTAGGATAATAGCGATAACCTAGCTACTATATATATAAAGAAAGCCGAAGTCCTTAGCTGGAAGCTCTTCCCCCCCCCCCTTTTTACCGCCCCTAGACTCTTAGGCGC